CCAGTAATTGTTAATTATTACTATTATTCAAATTATTATCATTATCTTTACCATCAACTTTCTGGGGGGGGGGGGGGGGGGGGGGATTAAAAGATTCCCTGGCTCGATGCATGGTAACTTCATCCTATCATACATCGGTGCAGTCGTTGTTCATGGTCCATAGCCTACGGCCCAGCCTGAATATTCTATTACAAAAGTTTGCTGCGGCATCGCTGTCTGTGTTTAAATCATAGAAGAGAGTGTTACATAGAGTTTGTTTTATTTATTTCGTTCCTTCCTTCTTTCTTTTGTTTTGTTTTGTTTTGTTTTGTGTTTTTTTTTTTTTTTTTTTCATTTTTTCATTGATTTTGCCAGTTGTCTTTTCTTGCAGTTCTCTTTGCTTTTTATATATTGACCTATTTAAACATCAATAAATTAAAATAAATATAATGGTGTGCTTTGCAGATAGCCATTTAAAGTAGAAAACATCGTTTTCTCGTTTGAAAGCTTTTTTTTTGTCTTTTTAAATCTAATAAGTACTGCAGTTCTGAACAGTTTTCACGGTCATTTCATTACAATATAATTGTCAATAGAAAATACACTCACTTTCCCAAATTTTATGAATAAAAACTCGCAAAATGGCCTAGGGGAAAGAATTTTATTTTAATAATTCAGCCTTATGTGCCGATTTAAGATAAAAATCGCTTTTAAAAAAACATAAATATGAAACAAATATAACAGATGTTTATTGATGGTCCCGGCCCTTGCCCGCCACGAAACAGAATTCACGATCAACTGAAATTAAACAGAGAATCAACAAGGTGTCGAAACAATTTAATTTTGTCCGCGTTAATCTAGTGAATTTTTCCCATATGCTTTCACGAAGGGCCACTTTAAGATCTTTTATAATTATGTATTTCAAAATTCTGGTTATGTTTTTAGTTCTGCCATATACTGTCAAGGAGGGCTACTTTAATATCTTTAAATATTTATTAGCAAAAATATTCCTGAAGGAAAACCTTTATAGCTGCCAAGGTAAGGGTAAAAAACTAGCTTTAATGTTAATCGCCATTTGCTAAGTGCTTGGAAGTCAGTCTCGCGTGCATTGAAAAGGACGAAACAAATAAAAAATAACGACAAAATTGCCTCAATGTGTCCAGACCTTTTCGTCTCGTTAAAATTAAGTGATTATTTTAGACCGAAACGTCAGTAACTCGTAATCGAAAATTATAGTTAAAACCACAATTCATCTTAAAATAGTTTCCGATATGTGACAACCTAGGTTGATCTGATGCGGACAAGTGGCAATGCAATATTTCGTGTAGTTAATTCGCTTTTTTCCCAGAGAAAAATGTTTCCTGGATGCGTGTTGTTTTTCTTTAAGCCAGTCCAATTAAGCATCTCATTTAACTCAATTGTCCTTACCAGTTTAGAAATTTTCTAAAACAGCCGGCATTCGAGCCCATCTTGCATCACTTTCATTGGTTAACAAAATGCGTTGCATTTTAAAATGTGTCAGGTGTGAGCACTCCTTTGAAATGTGATATTCTAAACAAAAATTATGCTTTGTATAACAAATTAACTGAAAACGTCGTTCGCTCAACAGCTCTGTTTTCAGATGATTGAGTTTGTGAATCACTTTTTCTCTTAATTGGGAGACAGAGAACAATTTTCTAACGGCGCAAGGAAGAATAATATCTGGAACATTTACAGATGGTAAGCTACCTCGTCATCTCGTCAACTGAATAATTACACTAATCTATAATCAGTTTTTACATACCCCGTTGTTTAACCACTTGTTGATGAAAATAAGCTTTGGTAGTAAACCAGTTCATATAATAATCACAATTTTCAAAAAACGTTTAAAAGCACAGGTAGATCAGAAATTTTATCGGTTGTCAAAGCAGGCTATAAGGCGGGCAGCAAGCCATAACATTGTTTTGTCGATAGCAGAGGCAAATAACATTGTCTCTTTAGCTCACAATTTTTTCATGTTTTGCAAGTAGGTAACAATTTTTGATTGTACTGTCACACTCAGAGCAAGTTATATTTTAATTATTATAAATCAATCACGTAACAGGGCCAAAAAAATAATTTTACATTTACGTTTTGTGCCAAAACTTCCAGTATATGGTGCCCATTGTGTACACGACTGAATAATAACTGCCGTATAAACCTGATGGAAGAAAATAACTTTATCTAGAAAACAAATACAGCGAAAAGCTTTTTTCAATTACCAAGAGTTCGTGATCCTTGCCTAAACGCGGAGATCCGTCTTGCATAATGCTGTTTATTGTTTCAAAGGAAAACCGCACTGTCATCGCAACAGATGGTAAGGAGAAAATCATACTTTAAAATTGATCACGAAAAGACCAAACAAAATTTTATCAAAACAATTTTTGTCAGAAGCCTATAATATGATGTAGGGCTTATGTTTTTATTGAATGGTCTCATTGCAACCAAAAGGATAAAAGAAAGTAAAAAAATTATTCTAATTGTGATCCCCTAAAAAATGGTTCTCAGTTTATGGGAGATTTGTAATTTCCGCGGGCTAATTTTACTTGCAACGGAAAAAAGTTCACTTAATGCGCATTTTTTTTTTAAAGAAATAACAGACAGACTCATCCACAACTCACAGTCGAGGATTTTGTCTCGATGTGGCATAAACACTACTTTTTTGAGGCACTCTCGCCACTTGTCCGTAGATTACAAGCTAAAGAACTGACCGTGTCAAATCCTAAAAAAATCGAGACTTTGAGTCGACATTTTGAGAGAGCATTTGTACCCTGTTTATTTAGACGGGTGAAAACAGAGACAGAGGTCGTTAAATGGGTCGGGAATGAAATAGTCGAGTTTGTTAGCTTTTTCTCAAGTGTCATATCGTGTACGAAGCACAAGCGTGTAAACAAAAGAAAATTGTGTGAACGGAAAAACGTTTTTTATGTTTTTGTCTCAAACGAAAATGGAAATGTTTAAAATAAACGCGCTTTCATCGCAGAGGCCTAGAAACAGAAATACAGCGGAACCTAGATTTGACGAACCTCTATGCAACGAAGTCCACAGCATAACGAATGATATCCCTCGCCCCAGTAATAGTAACACAATGTATATGGAAAAGAACCCCGATACAAGGAAACCTCGCTATATATAGCAAACATATTTTGCTAGTCCCTTGGTCCTTTGTTAGATCGAGGTTCCACTGTAGTGGCAAAAATTTGCATCACGTGGTACGTTGGTCTGTATCACGTGATCAAACCAGGCACACCCAGATAACAAACTATTCACGTAGTACAGAGAACGAGCAATTTGATTACTTTACAATGATGCTTAAGTCACGATTTTTATGTTTGAATCGTTAATGTTAAGACGGCGAAATGAAGTAATTTAACATTTCAAACTGGGACCTTATTCTGAGAAGTGTCTTAGTGTTAGTGTTCGCGGCGCAAACTCCTTGAACTTGTTGGAAACTGGACCAAACGAAATTGAAGACTGCGTTTAGTTACAAAGCGAAGTCAAGCACAAAATAATCGAGAGTTGAATGCAGTACTTAAAAACCATCTTCATTTCTCGCGGTTTATCAAAAGAACAAAGTATATTAATTACTGCATGTCAATTCAAATATTTACACAGATGTCTCCGTACTATTAACTTCTTTTTTTCTTAAGATGCAGTAGTCGTTAATTAATCTTGGTGTCTAGATAGCTTTTTTTGTCAACGATGCAGTCACTTCAAACTGAAGTGGTCGCGACGTCTCGTCTGCTCACTGATGGTCTCCAAGTCATGTTGTGTCTCATCATTTGTGCCGATTTTCATTATAACTAGATAGCTGTTTCTTCCTGGGTCCGAATGGGTCATAAGAACTCTTAAACGTGATGGCTTTAAATACATATTTAAGTAAGATTAAAGTAGAAAACACTACTTTTGATTGTAGGTGAGGTCAACACTTCAACATTTTCTCTTTAATATCGCTTACACATCACATTTAGCTTGAGTATGAGTATACGTTCTCAAGGGGAGGACATAGAGGAAGAATTTCCTCGTTCCCAGTCGCCCGCGCGATAGTAAAAAGTATAATAAGCTAGTAAGGAGGGGCGCAAGGAATCATGGTGAGGAGAGGAAATCTCTACTTTTCTCTCTCCCATCGCTCCCCGCGCTCGCATTCCTTACCCACTACCAGCTCCCGCTCGCGCTTTCTTGCTCACCCCCCGTCTCCCACTCACTCTTTGCGCTAAGAAAAATAAGGCTGTATGCGGAGGAAGAGATATGGGAAGAGGAAGGAAGGGAGAAAAGCCTGACTCAAAGGCATTCATTGGCTTGTGTTGAGCGTCCAAATTCTGGTGGACGACGCAATGATTGGATAACACAAAAGAGCTTCTTTCGTCCGGCTACACCTTTTTCCCTCCTCTCTGTTCCGAAGAGCGTCAGAAGAGCGTCATATTCAGTTTATGTGATATTTCATTTCATGTTACATTTGGATGGCTAAATGACAAGAAGTTAACTTATACTTTTTTGAAATTACCTATGACTGAAAGTCTGATATCAAGACATAAGACTGTGAAAAAAGGTAGTGAGATGAAAAAAGAGAAACTACATAAAATAATATTTATAGACTTTAAGAGTAACGATTTGTGTTTTTTTCTCCAGCTGACCACAAGCAAGTAGCAAACTAGCTGCGAAATACAGACAGTACTTAGATCTATCTATATTGCACGGAACTTGTAATTTCTCTTTAAGACTTTTTTTTTGTTTGTTTGTTTGTTTTTTTTGTCAACAGGAAAAACTAACACAACAAGAAATCGAAGGTAAGTCAAATTGTGGCATTGTTTAATGCACGGCGAAATTTTATGGAAAATTGAAAAGGAAAAGTTGGCCAGCAAGACTTAGTTTTGCGGAACTTCTCCACCAATTTCAATGCTGTGTATGAAACCATAATACATAACCATCGTCTTGAACTGAAATTAAGCAGTACTTTCATGCGGTACTCAGTTTATTATGCTGTACAAGGTGGTTGTAACTTTTAAGTCTGTGGATGAAACCCAAGTGTGTGACCATTCAAATGAAAGCTATTGAGCAGTACTTTCATGTGGTACTGTTAATTATGCTGTACAGGGTGGTTCTAACTTTAACGTCCGTAGACAAAACCCAATAAGTGACAATTCAAATGAAAGCTATTGGGAAGTATTCGCACAAACCACACAAACTTTTCTGTTTTTCATGTAAATGTGAACTAGTTATCTTTACACGACAAAAGCAGCGAGGTCTTTAGCAAAGCAAGGTCACTTCCAGCCTCGCTGCCATTCAAAGGCCAGGTCACTGAGCAGACAACTGTAAAATAGTCTATTGCGACAAAAAGGTAGTCAAACTACACATTGTTTGTATCTTTTCTTTCGCTTCAGAATATGTTGAGGCTTTTAAATGCTTTGACTTGAACGAAAATGGTCACTTATCTACAAAGGAACTCAAATGCGCTATGCGCATGCTCGGATTGAATCCGACTGCCCTGGAAGTACAGGAACTCGTCAATGGATTGGACTACGAAGGTAAGAGAGGCCGGAATGATAATATTAAAGGAGAGGTCGCGAAAGACTGAGCAGAGAGAGTTCGGTCGTAAAAGTAAAACCAAAAAAAAAAAAAAGCCCGTGCGTAGTCGTATATACCTTTCATTATATTCTAATTCGCTGCCCCGCTCAACCGAATATAAAACATTTATCATGTAATAAGGAACCACTTGTGGGGTGTGTCAACACGAGCCGTGTATAACCCTCTCTATTATATATATGTCTTATCGATCAAAATTACATAGAATAATCAACAATGAAAGCGCAAAATAACAAACACTAAAACTAAAACTGATCAATAACACGTAGTGTATAGTATAAAGTTTACAACAATCCGAACATAAGCTAGTATAATGAAATTACAAAACATGTAAAGCCAGTACTTGAAAATAATAATCGAATTTAGTCAATGGGTATTTAATTTAGAGGGCAAAGAGGCGATCGTATGACTCGAATGAATACAAATGAAGACAACGCAATATATATACCGACGCAAAAGTGTCGCATAACACCCAAAAAGAGGTTACGTAACCCATGATAAATACATCTATTTTTCCCACTTTTCTGATGTTGAGTAATCAACGACCATTAAATTCCATTGCTTTAAAGCCGATAGTATCTCGTCTGAAGGTCAACTATTTTGTGGGTGGGTATAACCTCATTTTCCTCATTTTTTCTGGCGTAAATATTCATCATTTCGCCATTAACAATTCAGTCTAGGGTTTCATATCCCTAACATGATTTTGACGTTCCCTCTTTCGATTGTGCTTACATGTAATTATAGTACATATGCGCCAAAGTTGTATGCCGTTAAGTGTGTTCTTTTCTTTTGCAGAATTAGAAGACATGAAAATGAAGAAAAAAAATGAAACAGGAACCGGTGAATTATGGAAGAATAACGACTTTCCGATATGTAAGACGATAGTAAGATTTGCGCTATATAAGCAGCATCCATCGTTCTTTCTTTCGTTCGTTCCTTCCTTCGTTTGTTCGTTCCTTCGGTGGTTCGTTCGGTCGCTCATTTGTTCATTCGTTCATTCATTCGGTCATTTTCATTTTGGTTCATTCGCCCAATCATCTGGCCGTGAATGCAGACTTTTTTATGAGTCTTTCAGACGCATAAATTGAAGTTGTTTAGCTCATGTGACGTTTAATCCGTTTTTTATACATTTAATTTTATAAAATCTTGACGTATAATTTTGCAAGCAGTGGTTGTGTTCTAATATAAACGCGGCTACCATATGTGCATAGTTTATACTGACGTCACACCGTTTTTTTCAAGAACTATTCAATGAACTTAAAATAATTTTCAAGGACAACTAAAAAATGTTCAAAGACTCCTTTTCCACAGAATCACATGTAAAATTTGTTTAGGTATGGGAGGGGGGGGGGGACACAAAGTACAAAAATACTACGGACCCTACTGAAGGCGGGATCACTCCCACTGTTAATGTTACGTACATAATAATCAATATACATCATAATAAAATCTCAGGCCCCATCCACACTACACCGGAGAAATTCGAAAACGGACGAGGTTTCACTCTGAAAACGTATCAAATGTTTTCCTTCCACACTACGCCGGAGAATTTGAAAACGCAACAATTACCGGTCATTTTGGATTTGGATTTGAAGAAAGCTCGAGCAGAGGCTGAGTATCATGATTGTCCCAACGTCATCGTTTTCGCAAAGCCAGCGTTTTCAAACTCCTCCGGTTTGAAGAGCGTTTGCGAAAATTGAAAAGCTCCGTTTTCGTGACGGATTAATGTGGACGGTAGGCCTAACCGTAGAAATAAAGCTGCGTTTTGAAATTTCTCCGGCTCATGTGGACGCTGCCTAACACGAACAGATATGTAGAAAAATCACTAAGCAAAACTCATTTTAAAATTATATGAGCTTAAGGCATTTTTTCCTTTTACTTTTGAAGATGAAGGCACTGTTGATTTTAAAGAGTTCGTCAACGTGATGGAGAATTACAGAAGTCTGCGGCAAGACGATGAAGCCGCCATGTATTTTAAAGTATTCGATTCTGAGCACCGAGGCTATATTGAAGGGAAAGCTATCAAGCGATCCTTGCAGTTTTTGGATGATGTACCCAACAGCGAGATTGAGGAAATCGTGACGAAGATGAATCTTACGGATGATAAAAAAATCACTATCGAAGGTAACTATCTCCTATCTCCTTCCATAGATGAAGCTATGGTCGACCCCCTCCCCCTCAGGGGTGCACTCCCATATGCTGGAAAAGAACAGGGGTGCTCGTCATAACTTTTATGGGCTTTAAGCCGCTGTTTTAATATCTTTTAGGGTCCACAGGGGTCCACAGCCTTTTAGGGTATTGAGCGGAAAAAAAGTCAGTTTTTAGGTGTAACTTTTGCAGTAGCTTTGTTTCATTTCACAGACTAACGGTAACGAAGCTCTCCTGTAATCTTATTTGCAGAGTTTGCAGCCAACTTCCTTACACCGCTTATCTTGAAAGACTCGGAGGAAATGCTCTGATGCGCCTTGGTCGAAGGAAAAGAACATCTAAATGTTATTGAGCGTTAAAATAACTAAGGTTGAATTCAGGGTCCTTCCAGCATTTGATAGATCATGATTGCTAGTTAAGGCTGCTTTGTATCTTACTATCATTAACCTAACAAATGCTATTTGGATTCCGCGCAGGCGTGGCATGGCTCGTTCCCAGGGAGTCTCATTCTCCCGCCCTTCCTCTCGCTGCGATAGAGCGGGAAGATAAGAGAACCTGGGAACGAAGTTGGGACTGGCTAAAATGGTGTCTCTTCACAGGATATAGTGAGCAAGGAAAACATTGCAAAAGATGTAATTTCACTTGTTTTGAGGGTTGGCAAAGAAAACCATGTTTTTTAGCTTTTATCTCTTTTAAACAGCAAAGGCAGCAGGCATTATACTCTCATAAAATACTTCAGTTATTTGCTAACACTATAAATAAAACACTCGCCCGCGACCGTTCCTTTCTAAATTTCTCTCGTTTTCTCAAATTCATGTCATGTTTAATGATGATATCATTTGCATATGGTTTTTGACCTGGGTATAGGTAAAGCTTGCATGCCAGCCAAGTGGCCCATCAGGCCGGAGCTTATCCCGGTTTCTGTAGCATGAATTGACTAGGAGTATTTTTGCTCCACCCTGGATGGGATGCTAATACATCGCTGGGTTACCCCCAGCATTAAATTCGCTGGTACCCATTTATACACCTGGGTAGAAAGAGCTACTGTGAGAGTAAAGTGACAGCACAATGTCCCCGGCCAGGGCTCGAACCCGGACTGCTCGATCCGGAGTCGAGCGGACTAACCATGAGGTTTCTTTGGCTTAGAGTAGTTTACAATTAACCAAAGTAGTCATTCTGGACATCACAGAGGACACAGAAAATCCTGTGAACCAATGAAACAGTTACATGTAGCTGACGCAAAGCGCGGGAAAACGCGTGCGAGCGAGTCAATATTGGTTTTGGTTTCACTTCGATCAGATTTGATGAAACAGTGGTGCGAGTTTTTGGGGGCTAATCGTATGGCGTAGTAATGCAAAACAAAGTGACAACCGCTCTTTTTGTTAATTATAGAGTATGGTCTCTCTGAAGAGACCGTTGTTAAAACTTTTCTATGTTCAATTTGTTAGACCATTTTTGTAAACTTACATTTTAGGTGTACTCAATAAATCTATTTCTCTACCTTTGTTATAAAAAAAATAACAGATTTAAGAAGATTACCAGAAATAACACACCCGAACTTAAAATATTGTAAATAAAGTTCTGTTTGTTGTGTTTACACTCCTCAGGAATCTATATCTCTGTCAATCACGATATTTTGTGAACATCGTGGTACAATTATATACTGCTGAGTTATTGACCAAGCGTAAGGTCAATATGGTTGGATATTGGCTAAGTCGACGAGGTCCACAAACTCGCTTAAAATTAAAGGAACTAGGCCAATATCCAGTCATCTTGATTGAGCCACACGGCAGGATTTGGTTCATCTTGCCCGCTTGTAAAGTTACGACAGTCCATATAACATAATCAAAGCATTGTCCCGCATTCTTTGGAATTTTCCTGATTTTCCTCTAATAATCGAAACAAAAATATATGAAATACAATGATTACCTATAAGGTAAAAATCTTCAAAGAGGAAACAGTAATTATAATCTAAAGGAACAAGGACGCCAAGATTCGAGAAGATTGGCACGGATTACAAACCATATTTGGTCAAAATTCAGGCCAAATTTCTCAAAATGTCCCAGCAGTGACGCAACTTCTTTAATGCATCAGAAACGCGGGGGGTGGTGGACGGGAATACGACTGTTATCAATCCAGAATCGACCCCCTGCCATGTGATATCCTCCCGTTATAATTAAGTTATCTCGGGCATGAACACGCCATTAAACGAATAGTGTTCCTTAAGGGTTTATCATTGTTCTAGTTTCATCTTACTCTGATTGGTAACGATACCAAAAGCACTACTAAAATTTCTTACGTCTGAGATAAGTATCATTTTGGGATTCAGTTCTGCAGCTTAAATATTGTTGAGGATTAATTTTGAGATTTGCTCAGCTTCTTTGAACAATGTCAGATTAATTTAAAACTTAATACTAGCGGTGGATTAGACTCTATGAAATGACAGAAATAAAGACCTTACACGACTTTTAATCCTAGATAAACCTTATCGGCTTTCGAACAATCGTAGTGTGAGCGAAATTATTTGGTTTTGCAACCATACTTCATAATAATGTCGGCTAACTGAATTTCTAGACAATTTTGTCTGATATTTATCGAGTACTTACTGAGGTTAAAACATGATCGCTTGATTATCAAGAATTGGCGAACAAGGGAAATACAATGATTTATTTCAAGGGAACATGAGATATTGTTTGGATTAATTTGAGCGAGCGAGGGATATCTCTTACAGTATGGAATTTGTTAGAGCGGAACAAGAGAAAAACATTAGAACTTTTCAGGAATGAAGGGAGCATGTATCCCCTTTGGCAGGTCCCCACCTTTGCTATGATGTAGTGGTTCGCATATTCGATTAGATTTTATTTACCGTAACTTCACGGACTGCGTAATTGTAATCACTTTTCTTGTTTTATCCGAGAAGATCCATTTTTTTTAACGGGACGACTTTGGTATTTTTGTGGCCATTTGAAATGAAGTGCGCGAAGAACAAACATTTGTTGGAAAACGCACAAAACGCATTTCGCGTAAGATGATGTTCTTCTGCATTTGTAAAAATAGCTGGAAAAGGTTTGCATCGGGCCAAGTGGTCCAAACCGCTAGAGCTTATACCAGTTTCTGTAGCATGAAGCGACTAGGAGTATTTCTACTCCTCGATCCCTGGATGGGATGCGATGAACTAGCATCCCATCCAGGGGGGAGTAGAAATACTCCTAGTCGCTTCATGCTACAGAAACCGGGATAAGCTCCGGCCT